GTCTGTCGAGGCGCCGACGGATGGCTGTGAGCCGATCGTCTGACCGTGGCGCATTCCCTACGCTCCACGAGCGTGATCGTGCGAGACAGTCAGGACCGATGGGTAGACGCCCTCGGGGTCGGAAATCGGGGAAATACTCATATATCCAAGACTGTAGAAGAGTCAAGCAGCCCGACATCTGGGCAGAGTCCCCTCGGCTGGCAATACCTAGCTGTCTGTACATGTATGCCAGCGTAGCCGATCCCCATGAGTAACCCCCAATCAAATCCAAGCCGTCGAGCACCTCGTGCAGGAGCTTGGGGGTCACTCTACTACCACTCTTGTCGACGAACAATGTGGTAGCCAGCATCACCCACAGCCAGGCACCCGCCTCATCCCTAGCCGGCCGGTCTTTCCCCCTGAATGCCCCCGAAATGGCGGCTTCGGACACCGAACCACGCTGCCAGAACGAACTCATGAGTTCGCCCTTGGTGACCGAAAGTATCGACATGCAGAGCCCATGGCAGGCGTCCGAATCCGGGTCCTCAGCGACCACGACTCCCTCCACTGGAACGCCCAAAATGGCCCGGACGTCGTGCAGCATGATGCTCATCTCACCAAAAGGCATGTGAAACGAGTTAGTATCCGGCTGCCATCGCTCCACAAAAGCAGAAAGGAGTGGGGTGTCCAAGTGGGTGTGCATGGAGTCGACCAAATGTGACAGCCCGGTCTGGTCGAGAAGAGCTGTAGCATCGGGAGACATCTCTTCACGCCAAGCCTTCAGATTATCGATCGCTCGCACTCTGTTGTGGCATTTCAGTAGCCCCCTCAAATTCCCACTCCACATGCGGGAGGCGACGTGCCCAAGAAAGCTAGGGATGACACTCCCATCAATGGGCCCACCGGGCACTGGGCCTCTAACGATCCAAGGTACATCATCATCGGTCCTAGCTCGTTTGCTAGTACCTGCATTAAAATACAACATATCTGTATATATTGACTTGCTGGCAGATGCATTAAATAAAATATATTTAATAAAACATATTTTATTAGTTACGTTACATTTTACATTTTACGTTTTACGTTATTATTATAAGCATATATAATTTATAATTATTAATATTATTTTTTGAATTTATAATTAATTACAATTTATTCAACTTACCCTAAATTACAAAATAATTATACTGTAGTTGACGAGCAGACCGATAATACTTTTCTAACAGTACCGATAATTTATGTTAAACAACAAACAATAAATAAGTAAATTATTTACCTGATGAGGATGCAGAAGGGCCAAAACGCCCCCCAGCCTGCCGTTGAGGAGCAGGCTGTGTGGGACGAACAGCAGGACGAAATGGCTGTACAACCGGTTGTACCGGACGAACTGGCTGTACAGTAGGACGATGGTGGATAGGACCCGTAGGCTGTGCATGGTCCTGATCATCTAAAGAGTCGTCCGAGTCATAGTCCTCTGGACCCGGCTCCCTCTCGCCGTACGACTCATCATCAGCATACCCCTGCTGACCATAAGGTAATGGTACGCGTGCGCGGGGGGGTAACGACTTCCCTGTGAAGCGGGGAAAAGCAAATCCCGGCTGATCGTACGGTACTGGTGCCGGGGGCATCGTCCTGCCCGCCTGGCCAGGAAAATAGAATCCATGTTCGCCGTACGGGATGGCTCCGTGGGGTCGCGAACTACTTGGCTGGCCCTCAAAATGATATGGACCAGTGGGCACTGGTGCGGGGGGGCGGGAACTCTGGCTCGCCTGACGAAGCTGTACCCTACGAGCCTCATCGATTAACGCCTGCCTTTCCGCGTCCCTCTCCCGACGAACGGACGCATTGACACCCCGAGTTCTAGTGTGTCGGGTGCCAGAACCATCATAATAATCATCGTACGCCTCGTCGTCGTCCCTGGCATTAGATCGTCCAGGTCTGCCAACACCCTGAATCAGAAATATAATTATTACATTTTTCCAATGTAATGATTATTCTAATAACTATTCAAATAGATTATAATTCATTTTTCTTTTCATATATAAATTTTATTAATTATTATTATAATTATAATTGTTTTCTTTTCATATAATTATAATTTTTTACTTCAATTATTATAATTAACATTAATTTATAATCATTATTATATTTAATTATAATTATCATTACAAATAATTATTATTATTTCTTATAATAGTATTATTATAAGCATATATAATTTATAATTATTAATATTATTTTTCAAATTTATAATTAATTATAATTATTATAATGATTTATTATTATAATTATGATTTACAAATAATAGTAATTATAATTATTATTATTATTAATTTTTATAATTTATAATATTTATAATTATTATTATTTTTATTATTATTATTTATAATTTATAATTTATAATAATTATAATTTTTTTTTCTTTTTATTTAATATTATAATTTAAAATTTATAATAATTATAATTATTNAGAAGAATCCTTTGCCGAGGCCGTAGAATTTTTTCGACATTTTTTTGGATTTTTTTTTATGCTCGAATCGTTCGTTGAAGTTCGGAAGTTTAGAGAGATAGAAAGTTTAGAGAGATGAAATCAAAAAAAGGGTTAAGGGCAAAAGAGTAATTGGGGGGGGGGCGGTGACTAGTAAAAGGGGGGCGGTGAATAGCGATTGAGTTATTTTAACTCAACTCCACTATCATCAAAATTATCAATATAATTAAATAATATCAATCAATCATTTATACAACCACATCAACCTTAATTCACTATTCATCCACTCATATTATTTTAACTAACCATCACTTCAAATCTCTCTCTCCTACTTTTATATCAAATCAATTTTAATTATTTTATTATAAATATTATTTTAATATACCCACTAACATCTAACCATACCACATTTTTCAAAATTAACCAAACCAAACCAAAAACTCCAAACAAAACCAAATTTTTTTATAAACAAACATGCTCTAACTTATTTGAATTGAGTTGGTCAACTCAGTCCGGCTCATGAGTTTGAGTAAACGAATTCATCTCGAACAAATTAGGCCATGTTTGGTAGCTAAATAAGCTAATTTATAGTTTATCTAGTTAGCTTATAAGTTTCATTTATTCTAATAAGCATCGTCTGGTAGGACGAACTTTTTTTAAAAAACTTGAACTTATTTGATAAGCTTCTTAAGATAACTTTTCAAATAAAGTAATTGAATTTTTTATTTCAGCTAGTTTATAAGCTAATTTTACATCATATAAGCTAGTTTTTCAGCTATAAGTCATAAAATATAAACTGTATGCTCGAAAATTACATATAAGTTATAAATTAGCTTGTCAGTTAGTTTTACCAAACATAATCCAACATATTGACGAACTCATTTATTTTTTGCTTAATTATTTTTTATATGTTTCTTACAAATAGTTGAGTAAAGCATGTGAACAATTAAGCAAACTTATTTGCGCACAGCTCGCTTATTTTATTTTATTATTTTTTATAGGTTCTACTAATAGCAGGGGCGGATGCAAAGGCCCTTCAGGTGGGGCCTAGGCCCCACCTAGAATATATATTTTTATTATATTTTTTTTAAATAAATGTAAAGTGAGTAATTTTACAAATATAATTTATAAATGAAGTTATTTATTAAGTAGATTTTTTTTCTCCTTTCATTATAGCAATGTCTTATTTATTAGTTGAATCTTTAAATAAATTTATCATGACTTTGCATGCTGCTTTAATAATTATTAAAAAATTATTGTCAATAAAAATTCGTTTGAACAATGAAATCAACTAATAAGAGATGGAATTACAATAAGTTATTTGATCCAACATACTGAAAAATATTATCACTCTCCTACCCACGACGAGTATTAATAAAATTGACATACATTGTATGACATGTGATTGGTTAATCATGAGATGTTATCATATATAAAACTTATCTATTTGCCGTTGATAGATGAATAATTGACTTTGATGCTTTATTTTAAATTATTTAAAAAAATTAATTTATATATAATGGTAATTTTGTATGTCTTCTATTGTGTCAATTTTATTTTTTTTTTTAATTTTTCCAGTTACCAAAAATTTTGGCCCCACCTTATTCTATTTGCTGGATCTTCCCCTGACTAATAGTCAAGTCGAGTATGTTCGTGTATACATAAATTGTATTTGCAAACAACTTATTTGTAATTTAAAATTTGTTAAACGAATCCAAACCGAGCTTTTATAAGTTTAATTAACCAGAGCTCGAACACAAAGTTCACGGCTCAACTAACATTCCAATTACTGGCCGCCTACCATATTTTGTTTCTGCTGGGCTTGCCCCAGATTGCATGTATAAATAATACTTGAATTGAATTTTGATCTACTCGTCTTTACTCGAGTATTATATTTTACTCCCTTAATTTGAGGAGAAAATAAAACAAAATACAATATGTTGCAGGATTAATTTGGATTTGATATGCTTTGTTTATCCTTTCGTTTTGTGTAGTTAATATTTTGTACATTCATGAAGAAAAATGCTACAAGTACATAATAAAATACTCACATGAAGTGGGGTTCACTTGATTTTTTTTATTTTTGGTGTCCCACTCAATGTGAATATTATGTATAAACTATATACAGTACAATATTATGTACCTATAGCATTTCTCATTGATGAATGACATGTCAGGATCTAAAGAGATGAGAGTCGTATTAAACAAAATTACAATTTTAATTGAAAAAAATATCTGAAGACCCAAAATTTATAAAATACTTATGTGGCCGATTTTTATAATGTAGACCTAGTTAGTAGTGCACAGGCTCCCGGTGGATAAACCAAACCTGGGTTTGTAGATCAAAGGATTAGTTCCCATTTGATACCGATAAATTTGGATTTGCAATCCAATTTTATATCAGCAAATCCTGCTCTGCAAAGCCTAGGATTAGCACCCATTTGAAAGCAAATCTTGGTTTTCGTTTCCAATGCAAAACTTCTTCAAGAAAGCTGAATAACACAAGTGAGATGGTTTTGATAAACGATCATCGATCTTTCTTCACCCTGTGAAATGGTTTTGAACTCATGCTCACACTCAAATATAAAACCAGTGGGATTCGTTTGCAATTCAAGGTTACAAAGTGTACTTATAAACCAAAATATAATATAAAACTAAAACACAGAGCAAAATGAAACTGAGATTCAGCTATTGCCATTCCATGTAAGATAGTTTGAAGTACTTTCCATTTTTACACCACGAGAAATCACGCATGGTTTTTGAATAAAAACATTGAAGAGGAGAAAAGCCGAAAGCAACAAAAAGACTCAGCAGCAACCACCAGCAGATGCATCCGACACAGCAGGTTTCTGTTTGAAGATGTTCCTTTTCACACCAGCCGAGCCCTCAGCCAAGAGACTTGGTGTCTCCAAGATCTGTTGATATAAGCGTAAGTTGGAGGTATATGAGAATAAAATCAAAAGTTGGATGGGTGAATGTTGGAAGTTCCGAAAGAGCTTTTTTTTTTTTTTTTGTTTGGGTAGAAGTCAAACTTGAAGCACGACCGAGAAAGAGTTGATATTCATTTTCCGTAAGTGTTTACAAACAACTGAGTTCTTTTTGGTTAACCAGAGTTAGTTTGAAAAATGTGGTATGGTTATTTGTTAGTGGGATTTTGAGTTTATATTAAAATAATATTTAAAATATGTGAGTTGATGTAAAGTGATGGTTAGTTAAAATTATGTGAGTCGATGAATAGTGAATTAAAGTTGATGTGATGTGTAAGAATTGATTGATTGGTATTATTTAATTACATTGATAATATTAAGGACACTTGAGATTGAGTTAAAATATAGTTTAATTTTGAGTATGAATTGAGTGTAGATTAAAAACTAAGCTCTCAAAATTGTGCCAAACTTACTAACCTTCAAGACGAGTTCCTCAAAACACTGTTCCACGTTGACTCGAGTTTTGGCACTACACTCGATGAACAAGCAGCCATACTCCCTTGCAAAATCGACTCCTTCCTTTTTGCTAACAACCCTTTCACTCTCCTGGAATAGTTGTGTACTCGTAACGTGTTTGTTTTCAAGCGCATAAATACAAAGAACACTAATTTTCAATACAAGGAATGATTTTAGACTGCTAATATCAAGGGAAGTACCTTATCGACTTTGTTGCCCACTAGCATCTTGATACAATCTTGATTTGTTGAGTAGAGGTCGATTTCTTTAGCCCAAATATCAGAGAGATTGGTGAAGGTGTCTCGCCTTGTCACATCATAAACTGTATCACAATTTTTTTTGTAAATCTCAAAGACAAGAAAGCTACAATGCTACGGAAAAAAAACCACTAAAAGGAGAAAATAAGCAATTAACTGATAATTAGATTCTCAATAATATATCTCCAGTAAACTGCATTATTCAAGATACAGACTGACTACTAATAACTGAGGTGGAATAAATAGCAAGGATAACAAATGTAACTCCGAACACAAATCTTTAAACATACCCATGATGATTCCTTGAGCTCCTCTGTAATATGAACTAGTCAAAGTCCTAAATCTTTCCTGTCCCGCTGCAAAAGAAGTTTAGGTTGCAATCAATATTGAATAACAGACAGATGAGAACATAGGAAGTTCACATGATAGTATAAGCAGTAAAGGCCATGCAATCTCTACAACCGGAAAACACACGTACACAGAGAGAGAGAGAGAGAGAGAGAGAGAGAGAGAGAGAGAGCTTTTCTCATTATAGATATAGCCCTTATGGCGTGCATCTAGATAAACAGTCGAGCACTTGTGTATTTAACAAAATGAGAAACATTAAATCTCTAGTTCAATGCCACTTGCATAGACAAAGAGATTTAAAACGAAGCATGAGCAACCACACAAACCCTGTAAAAACTATCAAGAAACTCTAATTCAATACAGAAGTTGTACAACTTATTCACTTCTTTTCCTCCCAAACTTAACAAACAGCAAATCATGGCATAATTTTTACCAGTGTCCCAAATCGCAAGCTTCAACTTTTTGCCTCCCAGTGTAACATGCTTTACCTTGAAGTCCACTCCTGTAACCAGCATAAACAGCACAATTATAATCCAAATACGACATTTTTACAAACTGAAAATGTATGTGTTATCAGATATGCATATAAACAAACTGAAATATAGCATAGTATACCAAAAAAAAAATGCAATAATTCTGCTCTTAGGCAGCCTAACCATTGGGAAACTATACTTTTCAACATCTTTTCATGCTTATATACTGAAATGTCATACTTCAAAAGAAAATATAAACAAAAGTATGACATTGCATAGCACAAGTACGCATTTTTTGCTAAGAAAGTAAGGTTGTCTAACGATTAGGTCCCCTAACAGCAGCATTTGTGAATAGCAAAATAACTCCGATCGAACACCGTATGTATGTGTAACAAAGCTCAAACAAGCTCTATGCCTAGGCAAATACACAACCCTGTTAAATTTTAATGCCGTATATAAACTGCAACAAACAAAAAACAAAACCCCAACTCTGAACAGAGCACAATCCACTGCTCATTATTCATTAACCTCCTAATCGGCTTCAAATCACTAGGTCAAAAATGCAAAGAGAGGTTGCGCAAATTTGCTCCGAATCGATCACACAGCACTAATACACATATCCATCAAGCTACATGAGAATTCACGAAAACATAAGATTAAACAAAATCCACATTCATACACTGAAATAAACGAGAAGAAAACAGCACTACCAATGGTAGGAGAGAGATCTTCGAAAGTATCAGACGTGAAACTGAGCAAAAGGCTGCTTTTTCCAACCCCAGAATCTCCTATCATCAACAGCTTAAACAAAAAATCAAATTCTGGCGATGATGATGATCCCATATCGACGCAAAAGATTCCCAATTTTTCTCAAACACCTATCAGTCGATTCAGTTGCAAGAGCAAATCAAACGTTTGAAAAGGGGAAAAAATAAGAGACAACAAGATGACGTCCCATTCAAGAAGGTACCTGAAATTCAATCGAAGAACTAAAAAGGGCGGATCTAAAACGGATTAAATATAGCCCGTATGCTTATGTACTAGTACCGAACCCGTGCCCGTGCAACATGTTGAATAATTTTAAGGTTATTTACACAATTTTATTATGATATGGTAATATTTCAAAATTATTGTGTGATTCAATTTTTTTGGAGATGAATTTATTTTATAAAAATATTATAGGATAATAACTAACAAATCCGAGTGAGTTCAGTTATATGTGTGAATCCAAATGAAAAAATAGATTTAAATCAATTACACTATATTCAGTTATATGTGTGAATCCAAATGAAAAAATAAATTTAAATCAATTACACTGCATGTTATGATGGAAACTCGTGTGCAATTTTTAAAATTTGATCTCAACTTAAAATTTTGGATTCTGAATTCTTTTTCTTAACAGATTTATAGAGATTATGGTGAGTTAATTTGAAATGAATTGTTTTGGAATAAAAATCGGTGCATGTTTGATACTTACACGATATTTTTTAAGAAAGCACTTGACATTTTATATTGTCTAAACCCATGAGATTTTGATAGTAATATTCAGTTCAATTTTTTAATTTTTTTTTATTTTGCAACAATTTGTTGCACATTTACGAAAAATCGTTTAATCTTTTACCTTTCCTTATCAAATTGTTTGATATTTTGGTTATACAATTTCACTTCGAGGGTCTTCTACAAAATTTGTCAAACCTTATCATTATGATGTAGTATTATTTCAAATTATTGACAACCTCAATTAAGACATGTGATTTAACTCTTTTAGAGATTAATTTATTTTTTGAAACATTTTTCTTTTTTGGATAATAACTAACAAATTTGAGTGAAATTTAGTGATCCGAGTGAAAAAAAAGAAGAAAAAAAAAAGAGTTTAAATTAATTTCACTTTATTGTTTAAGAGAAACTTGTGTGCAACCTTCAAAATTTGATCTTATCCTAAAATTGTGAATTCTTTTTATTCACAAAATTTACCAAGATTTGGTGAATTAATTTCAAATCAATTGTTATGGAATAAAAATCGGTGCATTTATGTGATATAATTTCAAAAGCATGTGAGGTATTATTGTTTAAAACCGTGAGATTTTGATGACAATATTCAATTTATTTATTTTATTTGTAATAACCTGTTGCACAATTAAGAAACACCGTTTATTCTTTTCACATTTTCTTAATTTATTATATTTTTTTGGTATTTTGGTTAAATGATTTCAGATTGAATATTTTTGTATAATAAAATCATGTATATCCCTGATAGTAAATCAATTATGTTTATCTCTTTAAAATATGTTTATGTTTTCAAACAAACCTTATTAACAATGTATTTTCTTATAATATTGTACACAAGGAAATATTCAATAATATATAGATTTCATTTTAATGATATTTTTAATTTCATGGGACAATTTAAATACAACAATGCCTTTTAAAATTATGTAGGTAATAAATGTTCCCGTGCATCGTATGAGTATGAGTGGATAATAGTTTATTTAAAATAGACATCCTTTTTATCTACATCAATGTTCTAACTCGGCACATTTATTTTGGGCCCTCTCGATAGGTCCATTAAATAAAGCCCAAAATAATCACGAGACCAAACTCAACTATTACTATAATATCTGGCTCGGCTCATTTTCCTTTTTTCAATTAGACCGAAACCCAGCACTCACTCACCACCACGCAGCGTTACCAGCTTCTCCGACGCGACTACCATCACGCGCCGCCATCCGAGCAGCGAATAGATGTCGAAGACTCTGGTGCAGCCTGTCGGCCAGAAAAGGCTGACAAACGTGGCGGTCGTCCGCCTGAAGAAACACGGAAACCGCTTTGAGATCGCCTGCTACAAGAACAAAGTCCTCTCATGGCGCTCGCGCGTGTATGTATAGTTGTATACATCTCTTTTTCTGTATTTTCATGTTTCTTTTAGCGTGTCGATCGTTGATTTCTGTCGTCTTGTTCGGAGTTGCATCCTTCGAACGTAAACTAGGGATTTTGCAATGCAGCGTAGGGTTACAGTTCAAATTACGACCTAATTGTTTGAAGACCTGGCATGGAGATGTTTCTAACATAGTCATAGACAAATAGAACACTATAGATAAGGATATGAAGGCGATGTTTGAGTGATTGGAGCTGAAAGTGTAGATTTTATTGCACGGAGCTCTGGGATATTGGATTGTTTTTGTGAATTTTGTTGAAGATTCTGAGATACTGATAGTATTAGCATATTCTCAATGCAGAGAGAAAGATTTGGATGAAGTTTTGCAGTCTCATACTGTCTATTCCAATGTTTCGAAAGGTGTTCTTGCCAAGTCGAAGGATTTGATTGCAGCATTTGGGACAGACGATCAGACTAAAATATGTTTGGAGGTTGTGAATTCGAATTTTGTTTGTTACTTTCTGTAATATTGTAAAATACAGTTGCTGTATTGTTCTTTATATCCAGGATTTTTTTAACGGGTACTGATATTTGACGTTGAACCACTTGATCCATTTAATTTAGTGGAAGTAAGTGGTAGTCGGAAAGCTCACAATTACATTTCTACAGTCACTATGCCTTCAGTTACATGTTTATCGGTTTAGTATTAATGTATTTATATCATTGTATAGTTGTTGAGAAAATTCGGGTTCTCGAGAGAGTGGAGGTGCATGTATTACATGTTGACTAAGTTACATGTTTCAGATTTTGGAGAAAGGAGAGCTACAAGTTGCAGGGAAGGAGAGGGAGTCGCAATTGTCGAGTCAATTTAGGGATATTGCAACCATAGTTATGCAGAAAACTATCAACCCTGAAACACAGAGACCCTATACCATCAGCATGATCGAGCGACTAATGCATGATATCCATTTCGCAGTTGATCCAAATAGCAGCTCCAAGAAACAGGTGAGTTAATGGGTACTGTTTTTCTGAATTTATTTTGATTCTGAGTTAATGTATATTAGTTTTGCCAACTTAGACCTTGTTCAACTGAGAAATAGTATATTCAGTCCGCTTCATTATATATATATATATATATATATGTATATATATATATATTATATATATATATATATATATATATATATATATATATATATGCAAATGTATATATATGCAAATGTATATTGGTTTTCCACATTTTGATGGTTTCGTCCAATCTGAAACGGGTGCTTAAAATTATTGCAGTATTATATTGCTAATAATGCAAGGTCTGAACATTTTACAGGCATTAGAAGTCATCCGCGAGCTTCAGAAGCACTTTCCCATCAAGAGATCTCCTATGAGATTGAGATTAACTGTACCTGGAGGGAACATCTCATCTCTTGTTGAAAAGCTCAACAGTTGGAACTCTACTAATATTTCTAGAGAAGAATCTGGTAGCAAGCTGTCTGTTGTAAGTCTCGACTTAACTTTATATTCCTTGGTAGCCTTACAGCTTCTAATTTCTTTTCCATACTTGAAAGTTCAGCAGGCTATAACTCCTTACTAACAATCTCTTACTTGGAAGCTTGTCACATTTTTTCCCTCTACATGTCAATGATGCACGCCTGCTCTCCTTGAAAGTTGGTTGTTAACATTTTCAGTTTTCGAAACCACCAATAAGATTTAGTTCGTCTAACACTCTCTCTCTCTCTCTTTTGCTTGTGCTTCAGATTTGTGAACTGGAACCCGGGCTTTTCCGTGAATGTGATTCCTTCGTGAGAACCCTCCAAGGAAGATTGGACATACTTGCAGTCAACGTGCACATGGACAACGACACTCACGTGGAAAATTACGACGACCTCGAAGACGAGCCAGCTGGCGTGGCGAGAGAGACTATTATTCCTCAACTGACAGAGAAATTGCAGAAGCAGGCTATTTCTGAAAAACAAGGTAGCAGCAGTTCAAATGCAGAGGAAAAGCAAAAGCAGAAGCAGAAATGCAGCACTTGCAATGCAGTTGTGGGTGATGCAAAAGAATACAGGGAGCATTTCAAGGGCGAGTGGCACAAACATAACCTGAGGAGAAAGACGAGGCAACTCCCGCCTCTTACTGCAGAAGAATGTACGGGTGACTTGGAGCTCGATGACTCGAAATCTGATCTGAAAGACTATTCGTTTTGAGGTAAGGAGATTGAATCTTTGGTGGTGCACCGTAAATCTGTTTTTTCTTGTATCTTCTGTGGATTTGATGAAATCTGTGAAATCGCGAAGTGGAAATATTCGTGTACGAATGACGTTCATTTTGGAGTTACATTGTTGTTTGCTATTTGTGTTCCTTTGAGTAGGTTTTTTGTCGTCTCGTGGATTTTTTTTATATGTTGACTGAGGAAGTTGCTCTGAAAAGTCTTATGTCAAGACACTTGAACTTTATGTTTACCCTATTTTTTACTCAAAGCACCACTTTATCAAATTGTTCTTATCATATGTTATCCTCAAACTTCCCTACGAAAATGGACCCGATCTTTTGTCTGACGCTGCACAACCAGCTGTCAAGGAGACTTTCAAGTTTCAACAATCAAACTGTACGTTATTAACCTCATTACCACCAACCCCAAAATTCTGCCTAACCCGACAACAAAACCCACTATTCACATGTTTTATGCAACCTGTAATCTGCAAGTGAGAAAACGTCATACTCCTATGCAATTAGAGATGGCTTGGGTCAACATTGGTTTTTATTTTTTTTATTTTTTATTTTTTAAAAAAAAAACCGCCGGTTCGGGATGGATCTGGGCCCAAGTTTTGAGACCCGACAACCCACCGGGCCGGGGCAGGTCGTGAACCGGCCCGCAGTTGGCCATGTCGATATGCAATGAACTCAAGTGTCTTGCAAAGGTCTCATCTAGTAAATATAGGTAGAATACTAGTTGATAGCTAGTAAGTTAATTGATTGTTTATAAATAAATTTCTAGCTTATGCTTTTTTATAGCTGATGCTGAAAAAATAGTTTATATTCTGAAGCATCACCGAAACATGGAACTGGAAAAGAGACTCCAAATGCAAATTATTATCATTGGCGGATGAATCACTCACTTGCAATTTCAAAGCTGCACGAGAGATTTTGTATAATTTTAATTTATAAATATATATTTTATTTTTTTTTCGGTAAAAAAATATCAACCGACTGACTGGACCTAAGTTTCACAGAGAGCATTCGAAAAGCAAATGGTACATGTAGATGAACTAACTTCATGTAGATAAAGGTAGATAATAGATGAACAGATTGTAAACAAACTCCAAACTACTAAAAATTCTACGACAAACTCAGATTCGAAGACAATGGGAACTATACACCAGGACAGTTGAAGCAGGAGGTTTTGTGGGGGTTATTGTACAGCCCACACAAAGGATTCACATATATCTCTGAAAATCAACGCAGGCATATTTAACTCATGAAAATACAACTCTCCCTCAGCTCCATTTTTCACCCGCTGCCATTTCCCCTCAAATTCGTTAGTCCCACCCGATCAGCTGTCTCAAACGAAGGCTCACGTTCCAAGTCGACATAATTTTACAACACTTGCTACACCAATCACATAAAAACCACCTAAAGGCAGCTATATGATATGGGTTCTTCTTTTTTCTTCTTCTGAAATTAATACAGCAGGGGATATCGATACTTTCTCCCAACCACTTTCCCAAACGCTGCACAAACAGCTACTAACTACTATACTTTAGCCCAAACACCACACGACGACAATTAAANNNNAAACTATCTCATGGAGATGTTTTCCAATCAAACTGTAGGTTGTTAAAACCGTTGACCGCCCCAAAGCCAGCAAGCAGCTGGCTACTCATATCCTGCTGCTGTGGATTCATAATCCCCTGCTCTCGACCCATTCCCACCCGCCCGTTATTATTACCAAGGGCTGCCCGGATCCCGTTGACCATGGTCAACTGGCCCGGCCCATTATGCATACCTCCAAAGCCCGAAACCCCCATTACACTATGTCCATTACCAACGCCACTTCCCATGAGAACATTGCCGCCTGAACCTGACGACGACAAAACTCCATTCACATTATTCTTCATCTCGCTGCCCATCGAACCCAATCCCATCTGGGATGATGATGACATCATCATGTCGTGTATGATTTTCTGCACCGAGCTCTGGGGGTCGTTTGCGTCATTCCCATCGTTAGAAAGGAGGCTTTGTTGTTGGCCCGGGATGTTCGGCGAGTTCACCGTGCTTGCTATTGGATGAGGATTATTATTATTATTGTTGTTGTTGTTGTTGTTGGACGAGGATGGTGTTGGGGAATGGAAAGGGGAAGGAGTGGGGTTATTAGCCTGTGGCATGGTACATGATGAGCCACCGGGGGAAGGCATTTGCACGGTGTTGTTGACTACATAAGAGGGGTTATTCGGGCCGGGTATTGGGTTTTGGGTGGGCCGAGAGTTGATTGAATTCTGATGGAGGAGATTGGCGATGGGCCCGGTGGATGGATTCGTGGGCCCGGCTGAGTGGATTGTGGTATTATTGGCACTTGTGGGCTGGATGGGGTTATTATCGTTGTTTGAGGTTTGGGCCGTTTGGCCCATTGTTTGCTGCTGCTGATGTAGCTGGGCCGCCTCTTGCTGTTGACTATGACTTTGGCCTTGAAATGCAGGTGATGGGTTTGTTCTTCGAGGAAATTTCTTCAAGCTTTCTGGGGAGGGAGAAAAGAAAAGAGAAGAATACGAAATTAACATATGGAATTTGTCTTGCACGGTGCAATAGTGTAATTGAAGTAGAAGCAAAAATTAGACCTTTGGCAATATTGAGACGAGGACATTAATCTCATTTTTTTTTCTTATAATCGAGGGAATTGAATATAGTTTTGGTTAAGGTGCGACTTACCGTTTTGGTTAGAGAATAGTGTTGCGTTGATTTACGATGATCAAAAAAGAATTTTGAGAGTGATGGACATGAGACTAGATCTGATTCTTCAAATTGATATGATGTAAAACTAACAAAACAATGATTGTACATGATTTAGTAGTTATAGAAAACAGGAGTGAATAGTGATGTTTATGGGAAAGTGTGTGTATATGATTAATTAATGATGTTAACTTCACAATGATTTGGATTAACTGGTAATTGGAAAAAATGAATGTGTGATATTGTAAATTAAGATTGTTTTTTTTTTAAAAAAAAATCTCATAAAACTTTGACAAGTAAAAAATTCTTAAATGAAATGGTATTCAAACTAGCCCTATCACATCACACATACCTCCAATATGAAATTTCTCAGTACAAAAAATATTTAAACTAATTGAAATTTATCTTCCCACCGACAGAAGATGTTGGATTTACGCCGAACCATCAACATAAGTCGTCTATAGAGCCATAACTAGTAACTACAGGTCATTAGAAGTATTCCACTCAGTGATTTTCCAGCTTACTTAGTATGGGGGTTATGGTTACCTTGCTCACTTTCCTAATTAATAAACAAAACAGGTGAACAGAATTGCAGAGAGAAACCAAGACTCACCCATAGGGCCTGAACCAGTTTCACGGCTGTAATCAATAAGATCTTTCATGCTATTCACCACTTCTGATATCTGCGAAATTAACAGTGACATTCAGGGCAAATATCATCCACCACTAGAAAACGATAACAATAAATCATTTGTTACATTGAAAATTAGCAAGTTAATGATGAAAAAATATGGCAACTGGTAGCACACACCAAACAAGCAAACAAGAAAAGAAAAATCTGAATTTTACTGGTGCCATAAACCAATTTCTGAATGCATCACTTTAACCTTAATCAACATTCGATATAACAAAGTAAATGAAAATAATCAATATTCAATAAAATCCGCATTAACATAGAATCTATCCGAAAAATAAAATCTGCCCAACCACCGGTTTTTCAACTCAAAATCTCAATCAGCGAGTAGCCTTTCCAGGTAATTGACTCCATTAAATAAAGCACCTGAAACTTCTGTTTGATACATGAACTAAATCTACTTGACATGAACTTGTAGTTACTGGAAGCTGAACTCAAAATTGTTTTCAATAGCTGAAACAGGAATAAATAAGATTGTACCTGCAGGCATCGGACATATCTCTTTGTATATCCCAAATCATTTACCAATGGAACTTCCAAAGCTTTGGCCAGTTGACGGGCTGAAGCAACAAACCTGAATCCCCAAAAGAAAAAGAAAACAAAAGGAGGTTGATTATACAATTAATACAGCACAACAAATATATAAAAAAGCTGCTACGAATTCCAAGAAAATATACAATGAATTTATAGGACACTAGAATGATGTTTATGAAGAAACTGATGATAGATATAAATTACAAGATGGTAAAACTGGTCTAGTCTAGTTGATTGCAAAGATAACCTTTGACCCTTTCCACACAATATTTCTCCACTACTGTACTTGTGGAGTTAACTAGTCCAGAAATTAGAAAAAAATAGAGCAAATGTAGAGAGCATTTTGCAACCAAAAGTGACAAGTCAAACTAATAAATCCATTAGTCTATGGTTTTGTATTTACCAAAATACATGTCAAGTTTGAATAGTCCAGCACATGAACAATAGAATTTACCAATTTGAAGTACAAATTCCCTATACAATCAAACCTAGACCTGTCTTCCAGTCACTGAAAATTATAAGGCTTCAATATTCCACCAACTTAATTTCACAATATACATAAGAGGAGGGATAAATTACATCCACCACCTGTTTTGGTATCACCAAGTAATATTTTAATATTTACTTGGCTTACATAAGATGTATGGCAGAAGGCTCAACAAATTAAAGAAACAAACTTTCCAGTTCAACATAAGGAGAAAAAAAAAGGAGAAATTTATTGCTAAAAGAATGTGATTTATATATTGCCAAAAGAAAGATCCAAATGAAAAGCAAGTGCCCAAACTCACATATTGCAGTTGTTTTGTAGCTCCGAAACATTGATATTGGCTGATGTATTCTGGGTAGCAGCCTGGTATTTCTGGGCAGCATTGCCAAGTTGTCCAACCTGCATTATGTTCCAGACCAATTAACAAAAGCACACACATATTTGATGCTTTCAATTGGATTGCACCTGTAAGACTATATGCTTACATGAAATTTTTGCAAATGAAAAATAAAGCAAATTGAAGTTTCAAAATAACCTGAGGAATCAATAATCTTCTAGGAATAAGCTCTTCATGGCGTCGAGCACAAAACTCCCAAGAGCATATCTGATGAGTTAATCGATACACAAAAAGTTAAGCAGAAGGTCTTGAAAACTAAAAAACAAAAAGTATTTTATTAGCCTATAGGATATATTTGTTGTGAACCTTAAGATCAGGAGAGAATACAATCCGAAGCTGACCATCACGAACCACACGGAGTTGCTCAAAGACACTCTCCTGTATCGCTTTTGCATAGTCCAAAACAATTTGCCCAGAGGAGTTCTGGTATTCTCGTGGCATATCAACGTAGAGCAACTCTTCTATAGTACCACTTTCGTATTTTATTTTGAAGAGTCTGGGCAAAACCTCAACAGTTGCCTCTACAAGGACAAAAAATTATGGTCAAGTGCTTTCTCTTTCTTTCTCCTTCCATTGTTAAATTAATATTTGTAGGGTGGGAAAGTGAGGCAAGGATGGTGGATGTTAGTAACTAAATTCTTTAGAGGGTATCCCAAAATTAACACCCCAAACACAGAAGTTGATAGCATTAAATACTAGTCCCCAAGAAAGCTAGGAAAACACCGGGCACTCAAGTAACTAACAAGAGGAAATGAAATGACAGATAATGTTGCATAACAAAAAGAAACGCACCAAACCCACGGCCAGGCTTGCGGTTGCAAATTTCACAATGCCAAACATCCTGCATATAAACATTGAATCAGACAATATTTTACATAGATCTGTAAAAAGTAAAAACATTAATAAGTGAACAATGAATCTTAACTTGTTTATTCAACAATGGAGATGCAACTTTGAAGTATTATAAAAGTTCTACACTTAAACATTAAACAATATGGTTAAATCAAAACGATCTGGTGTATATTGCTCAACTGACCTGAGGGAAAACTCCCGTAGTTTGGCGACCACTTCCATACATCGAAACACACCATTTCTTCTTTGCATTGGGCGCAAAATACTCAGCAACAAATTTTCTCCAGAACTCAATATTATTGTCCTGCACAATAAACCATAAAATTGCATTGATTAGCAACACACAGGACATCAAATTCTACTTTACATCATTTTCTTAAACAACGTACTACCATAACAGAAAAAACAACTCACTTCAGGTCTGTGTTGTTGTTGATACATGTAATGTGTCAGCCTTCGTGCACACATCCCGGGCTCGTAAACCGGTTTCACGGGGGACCTAATTGTCAAGTTCTGCTGTTGAAATTGCTGCTGCTGCTGTTGTTGGATTGGTGACCTCTGCTGAGGCATGGCTTTCAAAAGCTGCTGCTGTTGCATCTGTATGAGCCTCTGTTGATGCAAAATCTGAGCTGCTGCTGCCGCTTGAGACGACTGTCTAATCAGCTGTTGTTGCTGCTGCTGCTGCTGCAAGAATAAAGACGGGTCCGAATGTTGGGACTCCAATTTGACGGGACCCAAGCCCCTCATGCTCGGTATCTGCTGTGATTCCATTTTAACCGAGCTCATACCCATACCCATGTTCTGCATCTGTTGTGCCTCCATTTTAACAGAACCCATATTCCTCAGACCCTGAAATTGCTGCTGTGATGCTTGCTCATTGGCTGTACTTTGCTGCTCGAGCTTCACAGGTCCCATACCAGGCCGCATCCCCTGAAACTGCTGTTGCGGCTGATTACTGCCATTGTTATGTTGAAAATTTTGCGAGTCGAGCTGTTTTTGAATAACGGATATGTTTGGGAACTGGTGCTGTTGACCCTGAACCTGACTGGAGGGGTTCTCATTGGCTGTGACGGGCGAAGAGAGATAGGAAGAGGTCGGAGTAGCGAAACCCATCCCATTCCCCATGCTAGAGTCGGGCCCACTGTCGACGAGCCCATGATGAGAGCTACCCGGGCCCCCGTTACCAAACGACTGGTGTAGCAATGATGAAACGTTGTTATTGCCGAGCATGTTCAAGTTATTGAACTGGTTGCGTGGGGAAACTAACGAAGGGAATGCGTTTTGTGAAGGGATTCCGGGCCCTTGTCCGCCCAAAAGCCCGGAATTCGATCTCAAAAGGGATGGTGGGATGGGCTGGCCTCCGCCAAGAGGGTTCGGGGGGCCTTGCGGCACCATTTTTGTTTGTCTGAAAAATAAGAGGCTCTAGTATACACAATACTATGACTCACAAGCCACGAGTGGTGAATGTGATTACACGGTATTATATAATTAACATTTATTTTAAACCTTAACTAACCCCTAGAGTGCAAAAAGGGGCTACCGGGCTACAAGGTAAAGAGGAAACTAAGAGTACAAGTTTTTGCTAGTAGTTTACAAAGTTTGAATTTCTGAAATGTTTATTGCGGGAGGGACAGGCCTCGTGCATGAGGATATGAGGGTTTTTACTAAATGATTCGAGTTGAGAATCAAAGTTTTTGAAGTCGAGGGAGTTGGTGTTGTTGGTGAACATCCTAATTGTGTTTCTTTTTTATTCAAGTTGCAAACTTTCACTATTAATCCCTGCATAAAACAGTCAACTCAAGTCAGATTGTTTCCCCCTTACAGTAGTTAATATCAAAAAGTAACTTCTGGTCATATAATGGAACTCAAGAGAACAAGAAAATAATGAAAAACTGCTGAAACAAATTAAGATGTAAAT